CTTATTCTCATAAACAACGCTGCAACCCCTAAATCTGATTCTAGTTCTCAGTTCTCTGTTTTTTTTTTTAAACTATTGTCTCATCACACAATGTGATGTTAGCTGTTGAATCAGCACATTGTGTGATGTTAGTCATTAAATCAGCACCCTGTATGTTGTAGATTGCTTATAATTCTCTTCAATACGTGTTGTAATCTGGTCCTAATTCTCCTAACTGCTTTCAATTTTCTTTGCTATATGTCGCAGTCAAATCTAACTGTCGTCCCTGTATGTTGAAGTCAGCTTATAATTATCTTCTGTGTAGGTTGTAGTAGCTTCTTATTCGCTTTTCTGTGTGTTGTAGTCTGCTTCTAATTCACGTATCTCTGTGTTGTAGTCATTGACTGATTGATTGGCACCTTTCCGTCTTTTCAGACGATAGTGTTATATTGCACTATGAGGAGGCATGAGACTCACAGCCCATGGCGATGGCGAGTGAGACTAGCAAGACCAGCCCGTGTCAAGAAAAGTCTTCCACAATGATAGCATGGGATTTTAGGACCATTGTTAACAACATTTGTGTTTATCCGTTTCTTTTCAGACGCTCAGCTCTCATCATTTCTGCAATCTTTTCTTCCTTCACTCTCATTCCCTTCTTGATATGCCCTTTCCACACAACACGGTCCATGGCATTCTGTTCCCATGAGTCCACCTCAACACCTGTATCATTCATGTCCCACTTGCACACAGCTTTATACAGTAGTAGAGGTCGGCCTCGACATCTTCTACCTGTCTTTAATTCACCATAAAGGATGTCCTTAGTGCCTTTGTAGACTGAGCATGGAAAAGACTGTTGTAGTGCCTGCTCTTTTCAGTACCTAGGTGTTTGTGATTTTGTCCTGCCACTTAATGCCAAGTATTCTTCTTAGGCATCACATGTGAAAGCTATTAGGCCGTCTCTCCTGGTGCAAATAGGTTGACCAAGTTTCACTGCCGTAAAGCAGAGTGATGAGAACACAAGCCCGATAGACAAGGCTTTTGTTTTAATTGTTTTAGACATACAGTTAAGCATATTAGAATTGACTGCAACACATATTGAATAGAATTATAAGCAGTCTACAACACACAGGGAAGAGAATTAGAAGTGTGTACAACATACAATGGAGAGAATTAGAAGCAGGTTACAACAACACAGTGAAGAGAATTCGAAGCTGACTACAGCTCACAGAGAAAATTAGAAGCAGACTACAGCATACAGTGAAGAGTATTAGAAGCAGACTACAACATACAGTGAAGAGTATTAGAAGCAGACTAACACATACAGTGAAGAGTATTAGAAGCAGACTAACACATACAGTGAAGAGTATTAGAAGCAGACTAACACATACAGTGAAGAGTATTAGAAGCAGACTACAGCATACAGTGAAGAGTATTAGAAGCAGACTACAACATACAGTGAAGAGTATTAGAAGCAGACTAACACACACAGTAAAGAGAATTCGAAGCTGACTACAGCTCACAGAGAAAATTAGAAGCAGACTAACACATACAGTGAAGAGTATTAGAAGCAGACTACAACATACAGTGAAGAGTATTAGAAGCAGACTACAACATACAGTGAAGAGAATTAGAAGCAGACTACAGCATACAGTGAAGAGTATTAGAAGCAGACTAACACATACAGTGAAGAGAATTAGAAGCAGACTAACACATACAGTGAAGAGAATTAGAAGCAGACTACCACATACAGTGAAGAGAATTAGAAGCAGACTACAACATACAGTGAAGAGAATTAGAAGCAGACTAACACATACAGTGAAGAGAATTAGAAGCAGACTACCACATACAGTGAAGAGAATTAGAAGCAGACTAACACATACAGTGAAGAGAATTAGAAGCAGACTAACACATACAGTGAAGAGTATTAGAAGCAGACTACAACATACAGTGAAGAGTATTAGAAGCAGACTAACACATACAGTGAAGAGTATTAGAAGCAGACTACAGCATACAGTGAAGAGTATTAGAAGCAGACTACAACATACAGTGAAGAGAATTAGAAGCAGACTACAGCATACAGTGAAGAGTATTAGAAGCAGACTAACACATACAGTGAAGAGAATTAGAAGCAGACTAACACATACAGTGAAGAGAATTAGAAGCAGACTACCACATACAGTGAAGAGAATTAGAAGCAGACTAACACATACAGTGAAGAGAATTAGAAGCAGACTAACACATACAGTGAAGAGAATTAGAAGCAGACTACAACATACAGTGAAGAGAATTAGAAGCAGACTACAACATACAGTGAAGAGAATTAGAAGCAGACTACAACATACAGTGAAGAGAATTAGAAGCAGACTACAACATACAGTGAAGAGTATTAGAAGCAGACTAACAAATACAGTGAAGAGAATTAGAAGCAGACTAACACATACAGTGAAGAGAATTAGAAGCAGACTAACACATACAGTGAAGAGTATTAGAAGCAGACTAACACACACAGTAAAGAGAATTCGAAGCTGACTACAGCTCACAGAGAAAATTAGAAGCAGACTAACACATACAGTGAAGAGTATTAGAAGCAGACTACAACATACAGTGAAGAGTATTAGAAGCAGACTACAACATACAGTGAAGAGAATTAGAAGCAGACTACAGCATACAGTGAAGAGTATTAGAAGCAGACTAACACATACAGTGAAGAGAATTAGAAGCAGACTAACACATACAGTGAAGAGAATTAGAAGCAGACTACCACATACAGTGAAGAGAATTAGAAGCAGACTACAACATACAGTGAAGAGAATTAGAAGCAGACTAACACATACAGTGAAGAGAATTAGAAGCAGACTACCACATACAGTGAAGAGAATTAGAAGCAGACTAACACATACAGTGAAGAGAATTAGAAGCAGACTAACACATACAGTGAAGAGTATTAGAAGCAGACTACAACATACAGTGAAGAGTATTAGAAGCAGACTAACACATACAGTGAAGAGTATTAGAAGCAGACTACAGCATACAGTGAAGAGTATTAGAAGCAGACTACAACATACAGTGAAGAGAATTAGAAGCAGACTACAGCATACAGTGAAGAGTATTAGAAGCAGACTAACACATACAGTGAAGAGAATTAGAAGCAGACTAACACATACAGTGAAGAGAATTAGAAGCAGACTACCACATACAGTGAAGAGAATTAGAAGCAGACTAACACATACAGTGAAGAGAATTAGAAGCAGACTAACACATACAGTGAAGAGAATTAGAAGCAGACTACAACATACAGTGAAGAGAATTAGAAGCAGACTACAACATACAGTGAAGAGAATTAGAAGCAGACTACAACATACAGTGAAGAGAATTAGAAGCAGACTACAACATACAGTGAAGAGTATTAGAAGCAGACTAACAAATACAGTGAAGAGAATTAGAAGCAGACTAACACATACAGTGAAGAGAATTAGAAGCAGACTAACACATACAGTGAAGAGTATTAGAAGCAGACTAACACATACAGTGAAGAGTATTAGAAGCAGACTACAGCATACAGTGAAGAGTATTAGAAGCAGACTACAACATACAGTGAAGAGAATTAGAAGCAGACTACAGCATACAGTGAAGAGTATTAGAAGCAGACTAACACATACAGTGAAGAGAATTAGAAGCAGACTACAGCATACAGTGAAGAGAATTAGAAGCAGACTACAACATACAGTGAAGAGAATTAGAAGCAGACTAACACATACAGTGAAGAGAATTAGAAGCAGACTAACACATACAGTGAAAGGTATTAGAAGCAGACTAACACATACAGTGAAGAGAATTAGAAGCAGACTAACACATACAGTGAAGAGAATTAGAAGCAGACTAACACATACAGTGAAGAGAATTAGAAGCAGACTAACACATACAGTGAAGAGTATTAGAAGCAGACTAACACATACAGTGAAGAGTATTAGAAGCAGACTACAGCATACAGTGAAGAGTATTAGAAGCAGACTACAACATACAGTGAAGAGAATTAGAAGCAGACTACAGCATACAGTGAAGAGTATTAGAAGCAGACTAACACATACAGTGAAGAGAATTAGAAGCAGACTACCACATACAGTGAAGAGAATTAGAAGCAGACTAACACATACAGTGAAGAGAATTAGAAGCAGACTAACACATACAGTGAAGAGAATTAGAAGCAGACTACAACATACAGTGAAGAGAATTAGAAGCAGACTACAACATACAGTGAAGAGAATTAGAAGCAGACTAACACATACAGTGAAGAGAATTAGAAGCAGACTAACACATACAGTGAAGAGAATTAGAAGCAGACTACAACATACAGTGAAGAGAATTAGAAGCAGACTACAACATACAGTGAAGAGAATTAGAAGCAGACTACAACATACAGTGAAGAGAATTAGAAGCAGACTACAACATACAGTGAAGAGTATTAGAAGCAGACTAACACATACAGTGAAGAGTATTAGAAGCAGACTAACACATACAGTGAAGAGAATTAGAAGCAGACTAACACATACAGTGAAGAGTATTAGAAGCAGACTAACACATACAGTGAAGAGAATTAGAAGCAGACTAACACATACAGTGAAGAGAATTAGAAGCAGATGAATAAATTGGTGGACAGGCGGTGAGCTGCTTGAGATTGTTGAGTAGAATTGGAAGAGAGGCCAGTTGACGGCGGTATGTGCTCTATTCAGGAATACGGAACCAAGGATGAATAAGAAGATGTGGATGATGGAGAAAAAAAAAAAGAATACGATGATGCTGACAAAAAAGTAGATGATAAAAAATGATTCTGAAACTCTGCAGAACAGATTACATAAAGTATTACTTGACTGATAGTTTAACATCTATAGCGCGCTCACCTTTTCAGTTATAAAAACGAGACGTGACTATTATTTTAACATTTTGTAAAAGTTAGTGTAAGTTTTATTCTGTGTTGAACAATCTTTGTCCTTTGACAGGTGCGGCGAGTGCCTTGGTTAAAAATGTTTACCTCTGGACCACTGTGGGCTGTAATTGCCGGTCATCTGTGCAATAACTACGTTAATTATACCCTTCTCACTTCGTTGCCAATCTTCATGAAAGAAAGCCTCAACTTTGACATCAAACAGGTGAGCATTCCAGAACGTTTGACTGTAAGGGCCCACCAACAACTGAAAGTGCCGAAGCGACGTGCCATTAGTAGTATAAATCAAATGGGAAGTCTTTGTATTAAACTTCTATGTAAAGTTCGATGAAGACCTCGTAGCTAATTTGACTGTCTTCTTCTTCTTTTCTTCCACCTTGTACCTCATCGAAGTGTCGGGGGAAAATGTAACATCCGTTGATGAGCTCTGTCAAGAGCACTTTTAAGATAAATGTAAATTTTTGTAAAGCTGTCCTTAATGCCATCACTCCATATTTTCCGAGGTCTTCCACTCGCTCTATACCCATTGTAACGTTTTAGTGTGGATCGCTGTGGCAGATAGTACCAGGGCATTCTTGTTAGGTGTCCAAACCACTTCATTTGTTGTTCTTTGATTACCTGTAAAACTGGGTTTATTCCTAGCATCGCCTTATCCACTTTTAAATATTTCTACTATATCCTTTCTATCCCCCACTACCTCGCCCTATATATATATAGTCTGCTGCCAATTATCTTTAAAGTATGTTGTAGTCTGCTTCTAATTATCTTCACTGTATGATGTAACTGATGCTAATTATCTTTAAAGAATGTTGTAGTCTGCTTCTAATTATCCCTGGTACTATCTGCCACAGCGATCCACACTAAAACGTTACAATGGGTATAGAGCGAGTGGAAGACCTCGGAAAACATGGAGTGATGGCATTAAGGACAGCTTTACAAAAATTTACATTTATCTTACATATACATATAGATACTAGCTGTAACCTGCGCGCGTTGCTACGCCTCCAACAGAAATTGAATTTAAAGGAAGTACTCAATTATCATGTTTAAGTTGTACCCAAATGGGATGCAATTTTTCGTTATTTGGAGCGCCACCCTGGCTTTTGCTGGGACCTCTGAATATAGCCGGGTCACAGATAGGGCCTAACGGCTGAAAGGGGTTTCTAGGACCTCTTCACAAGTGATCCTCATCCTTCTTCTTCTGCTTTCGACATCAGTCATGCTAAACATTGAGTCCCGTCTGGGTCACAAATAGGATTGTGCGTTTAAGGTCGCCACTGGTAACCCAAAGCTTCTCTTGCAATGTGGCTCCCTTGGGCCAGATCCACAGTCTTTGCTGGGAGAGGTTAGGGCAGTGCTGTAGTATGTGCTCAGGGGTCTGTCTTTCTGCTCCACAATCACAGGCAGAAGATTCTTTTATGCCTATCCTGTATAGGTGTGCTCGAAGACCACAGTGTCCTGTCCAAAGTCTAAAAATTGATGTGTGTTGTTTCCTGTTGAGTTTGTTTATGATGTCACTCTCTGGTCTGTAATCTCCGTTCTGCCTTCTCCACGCCCACTTGAAAGACTGCTTTAGCGCTGTTTTGGTTTCCTTGTAGCTGTGTGGTGGGTGATGTTGTGGAAGATTACTCCCAGCTTTTGCCAACTCATTGGTTCCCTCATTTCCTTGAATACCACAGTGGGCTGGTATCCACTGCAGGCCCAGTTCTGCTTCCTTGGAGAGTAGGCCAATGTTGGTCCTTAGTTCTGCAATTAGTTTGTCTTGTTTTTTGCTTGATAGTGCTTGGAGAACAGACAATGAGTAACTAAGTATAACAATTTTTGTGCTCTCTGTGTTCTTGAGTGATGAGATGTTGGACTGCCGAAAGGAGGGCAGTTGCCGCAGCTCTGAAGTTAGTGCAAATGTCACCTGTTGTAGAGAGAGAGTTTTTGCTCTACTGCTAGGGGTCTGATGTATATTCCATAGCACCCCTTTCTGACTGCATCTGTAGCAGAGCCGTCGGTGAAAACCTGGGTCCAAGTGGTGTTGGGATAATTCTCATCAAGCATAGCAAGAGCCAGGGTTCTCTGTTGTGTCTCCGTCTGGGCATCTTTTGAAGTGATCCCTGGTACCTTTAGGACTACATTTGGCTTCTCTCGCTTGCTTGTCCATGGTTCTGGTGTAAGTTTTTCGCACAGTGCAACATCTCTTTCAAGCAGATCTTGGTGCTGTCTGTACAGTTCGCTATCAAGGTGGTTGGGGCTCTGACGCTTTAGTCTGTTTTTTGTTCTCTCTTGAAATTTAAAATGCAGTGGGTGATTTTGAAGTCTTTTTAATTTCTCATACTGTAAAAGAGTTTTGCATTGTATTCTGGGTTCGAGTGGTTCAGTATCTGCTACCCTTTCTATCTCTCTGATGTGGGTGGATTTCATGGCTCCGAGAACAATTCATAATCCCATATTCTGAACCTTGTCCAGTTTTCCCATTGTTGTCTTGGCTGCTGCAGCCCATGCAGTGGAGGCATATTCCATGACTGGCCTGACTGCTCCAGTATATACTTGTTTCAGGATTCTGGAGTTTGCACCCCCATTGGGTACACGCAAATTTTTATCGCTGCAAGTTTCTTGAATGCTTTCCCCTTTACTGCTTCTACGTGTGACTTCCAAGTTAGTCGCGAATCAAGTGTAACGCCAAGAAAGGTAGGAGTGTCAGTCTGGGGAATGAGCTGGTTTTTTTATCCAGATTTCGGTTTTTTTTTTTTTTTTTTGTGAGAAAGAGAAAAGTGATGCTGTGCTTTTTTAATTATTTAGCTTTAGACCCCACTTTTGGGTCCAGGCTTCTAAATTTTCAACAGTTTTCTGTAACAGATATGAGGCTGTATTAGTGTATTCGGAGGCTGTCCAAACTGCAAAGTCATAGGCATGTAGGGTAATGGAAACGTGCTGGTGACAGGTTGCTGTGATATCATTTATGTAAACCAGGAACAGAGTTGGTGCTATCGCACTGCCCTGGGGAACTCCTCTTCGTTTTGCCAGTTTGCCGATGTGACCATCAATTCTGATTCTGGCTCTGCGTTGGAAAAGAAAGTTTTTGATCCACTTGTACATGTTGTGCACAACTCCTGCCTGTAGCAGTTTTAGTTGTAGGCCTTCTTTCCAAACTGTATCGAAAGCACGAGAGAGGTCAAAGAAGACAGCAAGAACTTCCTTTTTTTCCTGGAAGTCATTCTCAATTTCCTGTGTCAGATATGTCAACTGGTCCTCTGTGTTTCTGTGCTTTCTGTATCCTGTCTGTGTAGTGGTGATTATCGAGTTTGTCTCCAAGAACCACATTAGTCTTTTATTTACTAATTTCTCCATCAATTTTCCTACACAACTAAGAAGGCTGATGAGTCTGTAGCTTTTTGGGACTCTTCTCTCTCCACCCTTTTTAAGGATAGGCTGCATGAGGGCTTCCCTCCAGGCTGACGGTGCTACACCTTTTTGCCAGCTCTGGTTATAAATGCAGAGGAGAAACTTCTTGGCAGCAGGTCTAAAATGAGAGAGAAATTCGTTTGTAATGCCGTCAGCCCCTGGGGTTTTCTTCATTTTCAACTCTCCAATTCCAAATTCCAGTTCTTGCATGGTAAACTTTTCTGACATGCAGGCCTCGGTTGTTTTTGTGCTAGAGTCTGTTAGAAGGGTCTTGGTCGGGTTTCGTACTTCTTTTATTCTTTGCATGGGAATATGAACCTCAGTTTCCTTCTGGTGTGTTTTAGCTAGCACTTCTGCTGCTACCTTGCCAGTAACATTTCCATCGTCTGTTTGGAGTACAACTCTGGCTTTTTCTGTCTTGTCTCCATTCAGGTTTTTTGTGAGATTCCACAGACGTGAAGCGTCCTTCTCGAGATTAAAAGACGCCGTCTTTTTGTGCCAGCTTTCCCTCATCTGATTATTTCTCTGTCTGATGCAGGCTACTTTTGCTCTGTTATGAAGTATTACATTTTTATCTGTCGGATCCTTCTCTATATTTTCCCTCCTGGTACTAAGTTTGGAATTTAGTGTCCAGTTCAGGCGACCAGTAAGGTTTAAAGTTTCTCCTGCTGCCTCGCGGTATGTTACCCTTGGCTGCATTTAGAATAGTTATGTTGAGGATCTTCGGTTTGGCATTTATTTCCAGTCTTGTGAAGAAGACTTTCTTCAACATGTTGTCCAACTGGGAAGTGAATAGGCTCCAGTTAGCCTTCTTGTAGTTCCATTTGGGAGGGTTCTTTTCCTTAGTAACTTATCTACTTTTGTTTATAGAAAGAATTTCGGGCCTGTGATCACTGCCTCCCAGCTGTTGATATACAACCCGACTGGTAACTTTCTCCACATCTTCAGTTGCTATAGTCACGTCTGGGGTGCTAGTTTTCCTCCAAGCTCGAGAGTAGAATGTCTGGGTCGTCACGATTATTTATCAGAACTAGGGTGTTGCTGATTATCCAGTTTTTTACCTTTACTCCCTTCGCATTGAGTCTGTGTTGCCCCAGCTAGGTGAGTGGTTATTTAGACCTCCGACAGCAATCCAGTTTTCTGTGTTTAGTTGGATGGCTCCCAGATTAATATCTCTTTTTTGTGTGGTGAGTAGATGTTGCATACTGTCACATCTCACCTTTAACCCTTGATAGTGACTGTGATAAACTCTGTATCCCCACACTGAGATCTCTGGGTTTCCCAAGCTGTGATCGTGTTCTTGACAGCAGTCAAGACTCCTCTTTTTGGACGATCTAACCTGTCGTGTCGGAAGATTTGGTATCCCCTGATAGAGAATCTGTGTGCACTTGTGAGGTGAGTCTCTTGGAGGCAGCATATGTCCATATCTTGCTGCTTCAAGAAATTGTGTAGTTCAGTTGTCTTCAGCCTCACTCCCTCAGCATTCCAGTACATAATTGTCAGTTTGTGTCCAGTTGCATTACTCTGTTCTTCCCTGGTCACTCCAGAAAATTAAGAGGTTGTGGCTCTAGTAGCTTGGGGTGGGCCTCTTTGAGGCAGGGGGCCTGGCGCCATCACTACCCGTCCACGTCCCATAGGAATGAAACCATAACGTAATAATGTTGTTTGCATGACCATATCGCTAGTGCGTAGATGCCCGATTTTTAGTCCCGTGCCAAGTAGGCCGACATCTTCCGACTTCGATGGTTGGGGTTTATTTTCAGGATTTCCCCTCCCATAGGCTGATTGCCTTCCAGGGCTTATGAGCTCTGC